CTTCCTTCCTTCCTTCCTTCCTTCCTTCCTTCCTTCCTTCCTTCCTTTCTTTGCTAGTGGATTTTTCAGTTGTTCATGCATTGAACCTCTGGGTCTCTGCAAACACCAGGACCACAGAGCAATGATTCATGTAAGGCCAGAAGGAACTCCAGTTCAGCTCAACTCAATAGCTTGTGCTGGCTCAAACTTCTAAAGTCTTATACTGGACACTTTATTTTAGACATATTTAAGTACAGTTTGGAAAAAAGTTTCATGGTATAACACAATCCTGCATGCACAATAAAGCTTAAGGCATAATTACATTGAAACTCTTTTCAAAGTACACGTCACCTCTTCCATATAGTCAGGCTGTGTAGACTACATGTGTCGTCTTGAGGGTCTGGGAGAGAACCTGGTGTGGTTTCTACCACACAGATAGATAGCACAAAGGTCACTAGGCTATTAACTACCTCTGGTCCTGTTTGTAAACGTCTGTGGGGGGTCAGGTGTAGCCTGGCCATAAGATAATGGAGAGGTCACTAGGCTATTAACCAAGTCTATTCCAACTGAGGTAGTTTGATAATAATTGACCCTCCTAATCTCATAGGGAGTGACACTATTAGTGGCTTTGTTGAAGTGAGCATGACCTTGTTAGAGGAGGTGTGTCATTGTTGGGAGGGCTTTGAGGTTTACTATGCTCAGGATACTGCCTACTGCCCAGTCAACTTCTGATTGCTTGCAAGATGTAGGACCCTGAGCTACTACTCCAGCACCACATGTGCCTGTTCGATGCCAGGCTCCCTGCCATGATGATTACAGACTGAACCTCTGAAGCTGTAAGCCAGCCTCCCAATTAGACATTTTCTTTATAAGAGTTCCCGGGGTCTTGGTGTTTCTTCTCGGCAATAGAAACCCTAAGTAAGACACCAGCCTTCTGGGCAGGAAACAGTTTATACATCTCTTCCTTTTTAGAGACAGCTCTGCATGTTTAACATCCCCGGTGCTTATCTGTGAGAACAAGGACTTTGTACTCTCTAATTGAACCAACATATTGCTGTCATTTAAGCTAATATGAGTTACATGTTCTGTGACTTAGGATAGAAACATTCATTTCCTTTTCTTGTTGGTTTTTCAAGACAGGGTTTCTCTGTGTACCTCTGACTGTCCTGAAACTTGTTCCGTAGACCAGGCTGGCCTTAAACTCAGAGATCTGCCTTCCTCTGCCTCCCAAGTGCTGGGAATAAAGGCGTTTGCCACCACGTCCTGTGGTGGAAACTTTTTTAACTGTCATATACTCTGGGTTTCTTCTGTTTTCCCTTGATTGGAATTTCTGGATGTGTTTAGGAACAACAATAATTTTTTTTAAGATTTATTTATTTTCCAGGTGATGGTGGCTCACGCCTTTAATTTCAGTACTTGGGAGGCAGAGACAGGCAGACCTATGTGAGTTTGAGGCCAGCGTCGTCTATAAAGTGAGTTTCGGAACATCCAGAACTGTTTCACAGAGAAAGCCTGTCTCAAAAAACTAAAAAACAAAAACAAAACAACAACAAACACCCCACAAACAGATTTATTTATTTTATGTATGAGTGCTCTATATTCATATACAATTTTATTGCCAGAAAAGGGCATCAGATCCCACTCCCACTATAGATGGCTGTGAGCCACCATGTGGTTGCTGAGAATTGAACTCAGGACCTCTGAAGGAGCAGTCAGTGCTCTTAACTGCTGAGCCATCTCTTCAACCCAACAATAATCTTTCACAACATTTGTTGATAAATATTTAGCCAGCAGTTTTGCGTTTGGTCACCAGCCAGGTCCACATTCTGGTATTGAACGTATGAACTTTAAAGTAAAAACAAGTAACAAAATATTAATAATCACATATTTGAACTCTCTTGTAATTTTAGGGAAATTGCCAAACTAATGTCTGAGTCTCTTCTTTCCTGAGAGCATAAAAAGACTCCATGACAGAAGCAACTGACAGGAGGAAGTTTCATTCTGGCTCATGGTCAGGGGTATAGCCCGTCCTGGGGGAGAAGGCAAGGCAACAGGAGAGTGAGCAGCTGCCAATCAGCACAGGCAGAAACAGAGAGCAATGAATGGACACTCCCCCTCAGCTCCCTTTCTCCACCAGTATAGTTAGGGCCCCACTGAGAAAGTGGCTTCCACTTGAGGTGGCTCTTCCTACTTCAGTTACTATCAAGTTAACACTAGCCATCACAGAGATTAAACCTAACACAATGTGAACAAAAGTACAGAGAAACCCTGTCTCGAAAATAAAAAAACAACCCTCCCAAAAATACAAAAAAACCCACAAAGCTTAAAGTCTATTTTAATTTATTTTTTTGAAATTTTCATGTGCATGCAATGCATTTTAATAATATTCACCCCTATTTTCACACTCCCCTGGACTCCGGTGATGCCCCTCCACTCTTTCATATCCGTTCTTTTCTTCTGATTTTTTCTGGAATTGAAGTAGTCTGTCTTGGCAGCAGGCACCTTCACTTGCTGAACCATCTTTCTGGCCCACCCGCACCTCTTATTAGCTTCGCAAATCACCAACGTCTTCCGTGTTCATTTCCTACTGTTCGCCCACACCAGCGTTAATTTCCTGCTCTGGTGACCCCGGCTATGTTTAAAATTCTGCTTTGAAAAAGACGATCTCCCTTCCTGTCTGTGGCACAAAGCCACGTAGCCCCAATTGGCTTTGAATCCCCTTTGCAGTCCAGATGACCTTTGAATTTGCTTGCGTCCTTACCCCACCTGCTGGGATTACAGGTCTCTGGCACTATCTACAGACAAGTTTCGTTTTCAAGCTTCTTTTAAGAGTATTTCTGGATTTACTTTATTTTTGGTTATGTGCATATTGTACTTCAGAATGTACTTTTGTTCTTGGGCACTTGTTGAGTCCAGCAGGATCCTCTGAGGTGGATGCTGGGAACCGAACTGCAGTCCTCTTCAAGAGCAGTATCCACTCCTAACCATTGAACCATCTCTCTAGACACTTTAAAATTAACCTCAACCGTGGCTAATTTGTTTGTGTTTTTGCTAAAATTAAACGAAAGCAACGTAGAAAATCGGAAAAATTCGGTAAAGCCCAGAGCATTTTCATCCAGTCATTCAGTAATAGCTATGGCTATTTTTTCTTCAAACCATAAAGGAATGCTGTGACGTCTTCGGTAACGTGCTTACTTTCTTTTCCACCATTTTCTACCACTGGCAGCTAGAGAGGTCTCGCCTACCGGAGGACCCCAGGCCGGAGGCGAGGCTGAGGCGTCCTAGCAGAAGCGGTCCCTTTAAGGAGGCGGCGCCCGGGCGAGCTGCTCGCTGATTGGCGGAGCGGAGCCTCGTGGCGGGGCGGCGGAGACCGAGGTGGCTGGGTGGGGTCCGGCCGGTGGGCGCAGCCTCTCCCGGGGAGCCGAGCGAGTTGACAGATGAACGGGAGGCGCTCCCTGCTCGGCTTCACCTTTTGCACCTGCTACCTGGCTTCTCACCTCACGAACAAGGTGAGCGTGCGGGCGGCCGCGACTGCGCGTGGGCTGCGAGCCGTGCGGTCCACGTCACAGAAGCTGCTCCGGGCTGTCTGGTCCGGATGGGGACCGCGAGGAAACCGACTCTGAGTCCACTTCCCCGGAACTTCGTTTCCGACTTGGAGGATTGTCTTCAAAAGGAGGATGTGGTCGTGCGTGCGCAAAGCCTCGGGCTCCATCCCCAAAACTCACCTACACTCTCAACTCTTGGAAGGTGGAGGCAGGAGGATGCGGGCTTCAAGGTCATCCTCAGCTACCTTGCGAGTTTGAGGCCAGCTTGGGTTACTTGAACCTCTGTCTCAAGTTAATAAATACAAATATACGTAAACAAACAGAAAGCAAGCAGTTGCTGCTCTTCCCTCAGGGAAAGAAGAATTGACGGTATCAGAAACATTCTGCCCCGCCCCCAAGAGCCTTCTGCCCCAGGACCCAAAGTTCCAGAAGCAGTGTAAAAGATTAATTTATCAGCCCTTACCTCACTGATTGACTCATCTAGTCTTTATCTCCTTTTCAAGTATTTCCGCTATATCCAAGGGTTTAAAATCTTGAGAGGCAGAAACTCCTATTTTGATAAGAGTGGGAAGTTGCCTTAAGTTTAGTGGATGCTCCTGCCTCTACCTCCCAAATTCTGTGGGATTTGTAGTGGAACCGCCACGCTCAGCTATTATTATTTATTATTATTATTTTAATTTTTAAAAAAGATTTATTTTTATTTTATGCATATGGCTGTTTCGCTTGCATGTATGTCTGTGTGTTGTAGTGTGCAGAGCCGAGACTGCATATGGTTCTCTGGAACTGGAGTTACAGCAGATGGTTGTGAGAGCCGTCATGTGTTTAGGTCCTCTGGAAGAGTAGCCAGTGTTCTTAACTGCCAAGCCATCTCTCCAGCCTTTGTCTATTCAATGTTTGTATGTGTTGGTTGTACCTACCATGGGACACCGGTAGAGGTCAGAGGGCATCTTGCAGAAATCAGTTCAGAGTGTACTTAGGTCATTAGGTTTGGTGGTTAGTACCATCTCACCAGCCCTACCCCTTTCCCCCCAAGACAGGGCCTTGCTGTGTAATCAAGGCTGGGTTGGAATCTTCCTTCTGCCTCCTGAGTGTGGGGATTACCTAGCTCAGAGACATTTTAGAGCTAACGTTCAATTTGTCAGAGACTTCTTTTTAAAAATATTTATTTTATTTTTAATTGCATCTCTCTCTCTCTCTCTCTCTCTCTCTCTCTCTCTCTCTCTCTCTCTCTGTGTGTGTGTGTGTGTGTGTGTGTGTGTGTGAGGATAGATGCCTGAGGAGGTCAGAGGCATTGGCACTCTTAGAGAAGGAGTTAAAGGTAGTTGTGAGCCAACCAATGTGGATGCTGGGAATCTAAGAGGGGTCTTTTTCAAGATCTGTAAGCATTATTAACCTCTGAGCCATTTACCAACCAATAGACTTCTTTCTTTCCTTTCCCTTCCTTCCTTCCTTCCTTCCTTCCTTGCTTCCTTCCTTTCTCCCTCCCTCCCTCCTTCCCTCCTTCCTTTCTTGTTTTTCAAGAGAAGGTTTGTCTGTGTAGCCCCGGCTGTCTTGGACCTCATTGTGTAGACCAGGCTGACTTCAAACTCAGAGATCCACTGCTTTTGCCTCTTTAAAAAAAAAAAAAGAGATGAGAGGTTCAGTACTTTGTTTTATTTTGTAGTACTAAGGACAGAATCCAGGGCTTCACATGTTAGCTATATGCTCAGCCACTGACCTACACTCCACCGGAGCGTCAGCGTCTTAGATCTCCCTTAGTTTGTGAACTAAAGCTAAGCACACAACACGTTGAGTAAATACTGGTATCGTAATTAAAGTTGTTGTGGGTGTTCAGGCCATGCCCAGGCCTCACCTCATCCTTTCTCTACTTCAGAATAGAAGCATCAGGGAATGGTAGGGTGGGGCACACTGAACGGTGCAAGTGAACGCAGCGCGGGAAATGATCTGTAACTGAAACACGGAGGAACTTAGTCAGGGAGGGTAGGCCAGGGAAGGTACTTCTGTGACCTTCCTCAATACCGTTGATTCTTACTGCTTAATCCCTCCCTCTTTCTCCCCTCCCCGCTCTCCTTCCCTACTTTCCTCTCCTTCTCTCCTTTCTTTTGAGACAGGGTCTTACTGTGTCTTCAACTGGCCTGGAGCTAGCTTTGTAGATCAGGCTGGCCTTGATTTCACAGAGCTTCTCCTGCACCTGCCTCCCGAGCACTGGGCTTGAAGGTGTGTGCCATTGCACCTGGCTTGGCTGCATTTTTTTTTTCAGATAGTGTGGAGAATTAACAGAGTCCTTTCTTAAAGTATTTGATGGCTTTAGACCATAAATAAATAAACTTAAAGTGTTTATAGTAGAAAAAGATATCTCCAAAGACAAAAATACAATCCTTTCATTATAAAGGTCTATAAATCCAATTAAAAGACTTATAAAAAGACTGGAGAGATGCTCAGGTAAAAGTGCTTGCCTTTCTAGTGTGAGGACCTGAGTTCAGATCCCTAGAGCCCACCTAGTAATAGTAATAGTGTGTGTCTATACCCCTGAAACAAGATAGGAGGCAGGCACAAGGGAAGCCTGATGTGACGATGTGTGTCTACACTCCTATAGCAAGATAGGAAGCAGCTCATGGGCCAGTTAGCCTGGCATATGCAATGGTGAATAGCAAAAGACCTATCTCAAGCAAGGTGGAAGGCAGAATAACATCTAGGGTTGTCCTCTGACCTCCACACATGTGCTAAGCCACAATCACACATATGAACATGTACACATATGTATATTATATCAATAAATTATACACAACAAAGAATTAAAAAAGAAAGTATTAATATAAATACAAATTGAATCAGGGTATACCTGTAATTCCAGTACTTAGCAAGCCAGGGCCAAAGGATTACTGGGATCCTGGGTTACATAGCAAGTTCTAGGCCAGGGTGGGTTACATGGCAAGTTCTAGGTCAGGGTGGGTTACAGATAAGATCCTGTTTTTAAGAACAGACAAGCAAACAGTAATATAAACAAGCAAAACAAAAATATAATCTTACCCCAGCTGTTCCCTTCAGTATAACTTGGAAGGCCATTCTTTTGCCCATTCATAACTTGGGGGAATGAAGGCCTTTATATAGAATACTCAGATTTCTTCAGTAGGAATATTATTATATGCTCTATTAATCCTCTGTCAATTAAAATGTTCATCAGTCTTGTGTTTGTTTTCAGTATGTCCTGTCGGTCCTGAAATTCACCTATCCTACATTATTCCAAGGGTGAGTATCTTTTTTCTCCCCAGATTTTGTTTTTTAAAATCTGTATGTTTGTGTGTATTTGTGTGTATATGTGTATATGACACATGCATGACCTTTGGAGGCCAGAAGAAGGCACTGTAGCTGGAGTTCCGGGTAGTTGGGAGCCATCTGACACGGGTGTTGGGAATCGAATTCTAGATCTCTGCAAGAGCAGCAAGAATTTTTAACGACTCACCTCTCCAGCTCCCAGGGCAAATATCTTCAACTACCTGCATATGCATTTGTAGGAAATGTCCAAAAGTGTCTTAGAGTGTTCTTTAAACAGTTTTAGGAACTACACTAGGTTTTCTACCTCCTCCCTACCCAGGCCAGATCAAGACAAACTGAAGAAGTAAAACAGCAGCTGAACTGAACAAAGCAACTCCAGGGCAGGGTCACTGACCTCCGAGAACCAGGCCAGGGAAGTTGTGTCCCCAGGCCAGGGCAGGAAGTTTTATAGATTGATGTTTCTCCACAAGCTGGGTCTGTGCCCACATATGGTAAAATCAAAACCATGAGCGGCTGGTGCAAATGTGGAACTCTCTGAGCAGGAGGATTGGGGCTTTCCTGAGCTTACAGGGGCAACCTGGAGGCTCCAACTGAACACATAGGTTCATCAGCAGCTGGAGACACTATAGTTCACCCGTTTTGTTAGTAGGCTTTTGGTGTTCTGTGTTACTAAGGTCACTCCGGCTTGCTTAACGATGCAGCAGCAGCAACAGCAGGGAAATAGCCCCTGGTGACTGACTGACTGCCTTGTGGCTTTGTAAAAGCCTCTTTATTGTTACACAAAAGACACCTAATTTAGCAAGCCAGGTTCTGCCTGCCAAAACCACTTATCTGGAGATGTTTGAAGGCCCTTCTCAGCCACCTGGGACCTTCCTGGTTTGCCAGGTGTGTCTGTGCAAAGGCTCTGAGTCCTTCAGAAGAGCAACTCAGATAGCAGTCATAGAAGTCTCAGTGCCGTTAGGGCTCTAAGTCCTCCAGAAGAGCAACTCAGATAGCAGTCATAGAAGTCTCAGTGCCGTTAGGTCAGGATCCATACAGGATAGACTGTACCTGTTGGATTTTTCTCTTCGGCAGACACTGACTCATGTCCCTCCCCAGGAAGCCTGAAGGCCTCAGACATTTTTGTATGTGAACCTGTAAAACTTGGAATGACTTTCTGGATATTCCCACTTAAGAAATTTGGTAAAAGAACTGTTATGCACAGATTTGCAAAGTTCTTCCAAAACCAACAAGGAGACTGAGTCGCGTGTGTAAAAGCAAAGAGCCTTTATTCTAAACAAGTTTGCAAACTCGGGCTATCCTTGTGTTCAATGTATTGGGATAAATCAATCGGAGATTTGATTATCTCCGAGCTCAGTTATAGTTGTTTTTTTAAAAATATTTATTTATTTATCATGTATACAATATTCTGTCTGTGTGTATGCCTACAGGCCAGAAGAGGGCACCATACCTCATTACAGATGGTTGTGAGCCACCATGTGGTTGCTGGGAATTGAACTCAGGACCTTTGGAAGAGCAGGCAATGCTCTTAACCACTGAGCCATCTCTCAAACTCCCTATAGCTGGGTTTTTATAGTAGTAAAGGTGGGGGTGAGGGGTTTCTAAGGTTCAGGAGCCCTGATTGTCTAGGGGTGTCCTGAGGGATGTGTGCTAGCAGGTGATCCTATCTACAATGGTTGGAACGTTAGGAATTTCCTTTGGATGACCTGGTGTCTGGGTAATCTCAGTTTGTGGTCCTTCCTGCAATCAGGTATGGCCTCAGGGTAAACTACTGAGCTCCAGTCTTCCGTTAAGCTCAGCGCCTCTGGATCCTGCACTGGCAGGTGATAATGGCTGGAAGTTAAGAACTTCCTCTGGGTGCTCTGCTCCTGTTAAGCTTCTCAGGCCTGGGTCCTACAAACTTCTTTAGCTTTCTTCTCTCTCTCTCTCTCTCTCTCTCTCTCTCTCTCTCTCTCTCTCTCTCCCCCTCCCTCCCTCCTTTCCTCCCTCCCTCCCTCCCTCTCTCCCTCCCTTCCTTTCTTCCCTGCTCTTTTCTCTTATTTATTTTTTTGAGACAGGGTCTCTCTACATAGTTCTGGCTGTCTGTCCTGGAACTCGCTGTGTGGAACACGTTAGTTTCAAACTTACTGAGTTTGCCTGTCTGCCACTACCTCTTAAGTGCTGGAATTAAAGGCATGGGCCACCATGCCTGATAGAAAATTGTTTTTAAAAATAATTTATCAATTTATTTTTTAAAGATTTATTTTGTTTCATGTGCATGAATTTTTGTCTGTCTGTCTGTCTGTCTGTCTGTCTGTGTGTATGTATGTATGTATACCATGTACTTGCTGCCCCCAGAGTTCAGAAGAGGGCATCAGATCTCCTGGAGCTAGAATTTAGCCTGTTGTGGGTTCTGGGAACAGAGCCCTAGGAAAATAGCCAGTGTTCCTATCAACTGAGTCCTCCTTCCAGCCCCAGTTTACCTTTTAACCTTGCATGCTTATGTACGTTCCTGTAATACCATATCCAAACTGGTATGACTCTTATTTTTTCCTTTCTCCAGATTTCATGCGCAAATAACATACTTTTGTTCACAAATTAACTTATTCATGAAGTCAGATAGTTTTCTTGCACTTAGTATTTACTTTCAGTGAATTTCTATTTGTGTCTTTTGCCCACTTAGTTCCACTGAGGTTGTAGCATTTTTCTTATTAATTTGGTGCATTTTGTGTTTGGTACAGGTGATTGGGCCTAGGAGATGCTCTTTACCACCAGCCCTTAAAACGTTGCTTAGTTACTCAGGCTGGCTTTAAACTCATTCTGTAGCCCAGGCAGGTTTTGAACTTGTGATCTTGCCTCAGCCTGAGCCACCAGGCCTGATTTTAGTACATTTTTATTTATTTTTTTACATTTTAAGGGTATAGCCACCAGGGCTGGAGATGCTGACTTAGTGGTCAAGAGTGCTTGCAAGGACCAGAATTCAGCTCCCAGCATCCATATCAGGCCAACTTGAGACTAGTTGTAACTTTAGGTTCAGGGAATCTGATATCCTCTTCTGGTCCCCTTGAGCACACACACACGCACATGGACAGACACACACACACACATATAAAATAAAATAAAAAATTAAATAAAAGTGTACTACCTCTTTTTTTAAAATTTTTTATGGTTTATTTAACTTTATTTTATTTGCATTGGTGTGAAGGTGTCAGATCCCCTGCAACTGGATCTTCAGACAGTTGTGAGCTGCCATGTGGGTGCTGGGAATTGAACCCGGGTCCTCTGGAAGAGCAGTCAGTACTCTTAACCAATGAACCATCTCTCCAGTCCCAAGTGTACTACCTCTTGATCATGATTTTCATTGGAAATTTTTTTGCAATTTGTTTTTTACCTTTTATTTATAATTTTATTACTTAAATGCTTTATTTTATTGATAAACATGTTTCTTTTGTGATCACTTATATCACATTTCCATTTATGATTATTTTACTCCATGAAGATACCATGTAGATAATTATTCCTCGATGTTTGATAAAGCTTCTAGCTCTTGTCAGTTTAATTAAGCATATGATCACTCTGAGAAAATTATACCTCCCTCAATAGTTAACCAACTTTTAATATTCCCATTTATTGCTTAATTCTCTCTTTTGCCTTTGGATCCTTAAAACAATATATAGTTCATCTTCAGTGGTCCTTTTTGGGTAGCTTTTGTTAATTCTTTTAGGGGAAAGATCTAGGGCTGATTTTTTTTAAAGCATGATGCCATTTAAATTTGCATAGACCTTCTCCTTTATGCTTCTTTTTTAAAAATATGTTTGGGAGATGGAGAAATGACTGTGGTTAAGAGTGCTTGCTCATTGCTCGTTTTAAATTTTACTTTTATTTGTACCTATTTATTTTGTGTGTACATGTGCCAGAGTTGAGGGGTGGAAGTCAGAGGACAACTTCCAGAAGTTGGCTCTCTCCTTCCTCCGTGTGGGTCCTCACGTTTGGTGGGAAGTGCTGTCACCTGCTCAGCCATCTTACCACATTGTTTTGGTTTTTGTTGTTTTTTGAGACAGGATTTATCTGTGTAGCCCTGACCTAGAACTCACTATATAGACCAGGCAGACTCTGCCTCCTGAGTGCTGGGATTAAAGGCGTGCGCCACCACTGCACAGGTGCACTCATTGCTCTTGTGAAAAACCAGGGTTCGGTTCCTGGCACCTACATGGTAGCTCATAACTATCTGTAACTCCAGTTCCAGAGGATCCTACATCCATGCCTTACCTCCAAAGGGACTGCAGACAAGCTACACAAGCACATAAAATAATATATATGTTAACTATAAACATAAGTGTAAATATAAGCTGAGGGGTAGTGATGAGTGAGCGCCTTTAATCCCAGAACTCGGCAGGCAGAGCTCTGTGAGCTCGAGGCCAGCTGGGTCTACAGAGTGAGTTCAAGAACAACCGGGGCTACACAGAGAAACCTTGTCTTAAAAAAGTCTCCAAACACTACTGCATGTCTCTGGGGTGAACCGACCAGATTCAGACCTCTGCTCTAGATCAGGCTGATTCACGGCATGAGCTAGTTACTCCATTCTTGGCTGGCAGCAAAGCAATAGTTCTTACTACTGACCAGTTGTCTCCTAAAGCATGAGGAAAGGAGGGCTACTGTGGGTAATGGGGTAGTAGCCACAAATTCTATAAAGAAGGAAATAGCCTGGCATATTTCAAGGTTGCCGGCTGTGTGCCTTGGGAATCCCCAAGGCAGAGTGAGAGCATGTCCTTGGGGGTGGAGGGGACTGGCCCAAGTCACGAGGGCTGGGAGTCATGCATAAGAGACTTTGTCCTGAAGATGAAGGGTTCTCAGTTAGTATCATAACACATAGGTATAATACAGTCATTTCTGAGGTGAGCTGTCTCAGGTCATTGGGGACTAAAATACAGTCATAAAATGTATGAGTCATCTAGAGTATAGAGGTGACTAAGCTCAACACTGAGAGTGTCCTAAGAGGTCAGATTGCCGTCATATATGACCCCTGGACGTCGGTGGGCCGTGGCCATGATCATGGTAAATTAGAACGTCCAGATTACAATCAGTGGAAAGTAGAAGGACAGTACTAAAACCTGTCAGGAAGATGTTAGCTGCACGAGGCTGAGGGAGTCCTGGACCCACTATGAATCCTCGAGATGCATGGATGGCTTCGCAAACAGGGGCTCCTTTATGTGTGCAATATTTAAAGGGGACATGGGGACTTGCTGCATTTGGGTAGCTCTAGAAGTTGAATACTACTTAGAGCCCCAGAATAAGGATAAGAAACATCACTGAAGAGAATACTTGTAATTATTACCTATCATCTCCAGGAGATGCCGGTGAACTCACAACCCCCCTCCCTGTTTAAAGGTTTATTTTTATAAGTGTGTGTGTGTGTGCGCGCGCGCGCGCGCACACGCACATGCGCATATATATGTGTGTGTGCAGTGACTGAGGAGGCTATTGGGTCTCCTGGAACTGGCAGCTATGAGCCCCTAGCCTTGGTGCTGGGATTTGAAAGAGGGCCCTCTGGGAGAGAAGGGAACACCCTTAACCACAGAGCCATCTCTCCCTCCCAGTCTTCCAAGTGTTGGGGTTACAGTTTGACATTTTAATGTGCTTTGCACAGTGGGAGAGGGCAATGTTTTAACATGCTATCCCTGACTGTATTGCTAAGAGCACTGTGCCTCTATTGAACTTCATGACCCCAGGTGTATGTGGCTGTGAAGGGGCTAAGGTCTCAGGGCTGAGGAAGACTCAACCATTTTTAAAACAAGTAAGTGACATGGTTTGACTAGCTACTTAGAAAAACTGCTCCAAGGTATGGATGGTGGGGGCAACCCTTGGGGGTCTTTATAGGATGCTAAGGTGTAACATGAGGGCCAGTTTGTTGGGGTTTCTGTCTTGCCCAGTTCCCATAGCTGGTAAGCATCCAAAGAAAATTTCACAGAAGTTTAATTATAAACTGACTGGCCATTAGCTCAGGCTTCTTATTAACTCTTGTAATGTATATTAACCCATTATTCTTATCTATGTTAGCCACATGGCTCAGTACCTTTTTCAGCAGGGCAGGTCACATCCTGCTTCTTTCATGATCTGGGCAGGACTGCAGAAAGAGCTTCCTTCTTCCCAGAATACTCCCGTTCTCCTTGCCCTGCTTCTACTTCCTGTCTGATTGTCCCACCTATATTTCCTGCCTGGCTACTGACCGATCAGCACTTACTTAAAATGTAATTGACAGAATACAGAATTGTCCTACACCACTAAGGGCACAATAGGGAAGACTAAATTACAACAAAACTAAGGAGGTGGCTTAGGATGTGAACACTGTTATGGGGAAAAATACAGTCATGACGATTTTGCCAAGTAGACGAGGGCGATGAAGCCGGAGGAAGGGCTAGGGAGAAGGGTTGAGGTGCTACGTTAGCTCACTGGCTAAGAGCAGTAGGATGATGACCAGGCTCAGGGAATGTCTGAGACATCATTTTGCATATGACATGATTGTGAGGCTATGGAATTTCAGGGTAGAAGAATCTAGATGAGAACAGGGATCTGGAAGTCGTCCATACCTGTGGCTATGAATGAGGTTCAGGAAATGTCTAGAAGGAGAAGAGGCAAACAAGAATATCAGCACGTATTGACGAGCCGGATTCAAAGGAGGAGAGATGGGAAATTGTCTACAGAATTAGAGAAGAGCTGGGAAAACAGGAAAAGCGAGGTGTAGAAGGGTTGGAGATAGGGATTAGCGGCCGTCAGCAGGTCTGTCCTGGCCGGATGGCACTGGACTCTGTAGGCCTGGAGTAACTCATCTGGACATTCATCCGTTCCAGGTGGCAGACACTCATCGGTGGACTTTTGCTTCATATGTCATGGAAACTGGGTTGTGTGGAGATCAACAGCAGTTTAAGGTATCCTAGCCTCTGTGTAACTGGCTCATGACTCACGTACCCTTGCTTTACATATGTGTTATACTGCACCAGGAAACTTGAATGCGTGCTTGAGTTGTTTGGTCTCTTAGTTCTTTTCCAACCTTGAGATTCAGTGATTTTATAGTAAGATAAATCTTGAAAGTGTCACCAGTATGAGATTAAATTATTAGGCACAATCACAATACCGTATTAATTTGCCTTTGTCTTAGGGCTAAAGAAGACCACCACAGAGAGCTTACAGAGGAGCTTTAAATATCTTTTGGGAAATTTTTTGTTTGTTTGAATTTTTTTTTGTTTGTTTTTGTTTTTTGAGGCAAGGCTTCTCTGTAGCTTTGGAGCCTGTCCTGGAACTCACCCTGTAGACCAGGCTGTCCTGGAACTCGCCCTGTAGACCAGGCTGTCCTGGAACTCATCCTGTAGACCAGGCTGGCCTGGAACTCACTGAGATCCACCTGTTTCTGCCTCCTGAATGCTGGGATTAAAGACTTGTGCCACTCACTGCCCAGTGGGAGTTTTTATTATTATTTTCTACTTACAGAGCAGTTAAGAACAATACCAATGTTCTCGTCACTTTCTGTTGCTGTGGTAAGAACCAGGACCAAAGCAGCTACAGTAGGAAGGGTTTATTTGGGGTTTACCATTCCGGAAGGTTAGAGTCCATGATGTCTGTGCAGAGGCTGGTGGAGGAGGAGCTTAGAGCTCACATCTCGGTCTACAAGCAGGAAGCAGAGTGCATGGGAAAACAACTCATGGCCTTTAGATTTTTTTAAACTTATTTTTATTTAAAATTTTTAAAATTTTTTTTGAGATTATAATTTAATTACATCATTTGCCTCTTTGCTTTCCTCCCTCCAAACTCTCCTGTGCACCTCTCTTTGCTCCCTTAATAAACGGCCTCTTTTTATCCATTATCCCTGACTTTATTATTTTACTATTCATGTTGTGCATAAGATACTGATTTAGTCTAGAAGAGTGGCTTATTAATTCTTACTTTTGCCCTAAGTAGTGAACTAAAAAATAGTGAAGTGCATGCCTGTAACTCCAACACTGGCAGGGGCAGGGTGGAACTCACTGGTCAGCCAGCCTAGCAGAATCTGTGATATCCAGCTTCAGAGAAAGACCCTGCCTCAGAAGACAGTAAGGTGCAGAATGACTGAGGAAGATGTCTGAGGTTGACCTTTGGCCTTCACGTGCACATGCACACATGTGTACACACACAAACATGTACACATATATACACGCAGAACAGAAAAATATTATGTAAGATCCTTTTGCTTGTAAGACAAGTATTGACTTTACAGTGGTAGGCAGTTACTGTTCTAGGCAATGCCGGTGGTCCGCCTATGAACCTTCTTCTTATTTTCGTACTGGAGGCTATTTTTAGGTCCACTAGATGTCAGCAGAATACAGAATTTTTGAGAATTCCATTTGAGGAGCCCTCCAGGCACCCATAACAAAACATTGCAGTGTTTGCAGGGAGCAGATGTTCTCTCAATAAGGCATGCTCTATTTGAAAAACAGTGATTTAATTTAATTAGCTTCATCTCAGTGACAACAGTTTTATGATGTATGCCAACACATTCCATAACTTCACACAGTTCTTGGTGGTGGCAGGTGGCATGCAGATGGAAAACAGACCCAGGATTCACATGAGATGCAGTATCTGGACTTCTCAGTCAGTGAGGGGGCCTGGCAGAGCCCTAGGCAGGAGGTCCTTCAGTGTGGTAGGCAGTACATGCAGTCCCTCCAGCCAGGTGTTGCTTCCCCTACTCTCATGCACACATACTAATGTGTGCATGCAAATGTGCACATGAACACACTCACTGGCTCAGCAATTCCCGAGAGGCCCAGATGCCAAAGGGCCCTGAGACCCTGCCAGGATCACCACAGACTTTAATTCTGCTTTGTTTCCTTTGTGGGTGAGTATGGTAATGAAAGACTTAACGGACATACAGGCCAGAGCCTCCAGATGATGGATTAAAAGTGGGGGCAGGCGGCGCCTCTGTTCCTGATGTTCACAGTACCCTCTACAAGTTAAACTTCGGGGCCTGCATCTTTCAGTAGTGCTTCTGGGAGTTTATCCTGAATACTATTAAAAAGTCACACACGTGAGGAAATAATATATTCAAGAATACTCACACAGCATCAGGATAGTAAAAAAAAACCTTAAATATCCAACCATAGGCCCTCCATAGACTGGGGTGACCTCACACTCACAGAGATCCTCCTGCCTCTGCCTCTCCAGTGCGGGGATTAAAGGCGTGTGCCTCTCACTATTCATTGGTATTGTTCAGTTATTATTAATGAAGTTAATGGTCAGTAATTCAATTATCAGTAAATTGGGTGTGGCTTTTTGCCATGGGAAATTGTGAAATTAAGTAGATTATGAGACGGTATGTGCAACAGGATCCCATTATTGTCAAAATGTTAGTATATGTGACATTTGGACACTGGGAGTGTACTTCCCAGGTGTTCCCCTTTGGGCATGGCCTGGATTATAATTTCAGTGGTTTTATTTTTGTTTTTGTTTTTGTTTGTTTGTTTGTTTGTTTTGAGACAGGGTCTCATTGTGTAGCCCTGGCCAGCCTGGAACATGCTGTGTAGCCCTGGTGGGCTTGGAATTTGCTGTGTAGACCAGGCTGGCTTTGAACTCATAGAGATCCACTGCCTCTGCCTCCTAGGTGATTGGGGGGGGGCAAGAAATGTTGCAAAGATCACACTGCATAATAGACCTCATAAGAGAGATTTATTGGGGCAGGGTGTGTCTCAGGCCGCCTGAGAGAGGGTGGAAAAGGAAGAGAAGCCGTGCAGGTGCAGGCTCTAGAAAGGATACCTGACTCTGGTAACAGTGGAAGTGTGCCACATTTGGTGGGTGGTGACAACATGGCTTCTGGTGCTGAGCGGTGCAGGCTCGGGGAGCGTCTGTTTCTGGAATGGGGTTGGGTCTTGGTTTACCAACAATAGGTGTGTACCACACTAGGCCTACAGTGTTTTTCTTAACGTTAGAGTGTGGTGGAGGATGGCATTTTCTCACTGCTCAGAGTAGCCAAGAATCCCGAGAGCCAGCTGTTACGGATTAGGGTCACAGCCTGTGCTCCAGTAACACATGTTCAGCATCTGCTCTCAGTAAACCAATTAAAATAGCTAAGTTAGCAGTCCTGGCAATGGGTGGCCCTGCCCACTTTTGACTTCTTGTTCTATTTTCTGTAGGTCATCTGGCAGGTTGTATGTTTCTTTGACCTGTTCTATCTCCTATAGGTCGTCTGACAGGTTGTACGTTTCTCTCTGGTAGAAAAAGTTTCTCCTCTGGATGGCCTAGGCACTCTGTTTTTCCAGCTTGAGACTTCTAGCTAATTCCAGTTTCCTGAAGGAATTTGTCGTTTGAACAGTCTGATAAAGTCAGGGACACAGGTGTCCCTTGAATGTCTTCTTCCCTGCCAGGCCAGTTACGCAGCCTCTGAAGGTGTCTGAAGTTCTCAGGAAAATGCCTGCACCCCTTTTGGCTGAGGGGCAGCCACTGTCTCATGAGCACAACGTGCTCTTTCCTGTTGGCCCCAAGTGAGATGGCTGGTCAGTGCCTGGGCTGGATGTTTGGAGCAGAGTGCTCACTGGGCCTCCCTGCTACGGCTCCCAGGAGTCTCTTCTGTATCCGGTTGAAGCTGTGTCTTTGTATTTCAGAGTAAGGATTGGCACATAAGACATTCCTTAGGGTTGTTTTCCTTCTCTCACATCCACAGTGAGCAGTGCAGATCCATTTCTTGGAGTCTGTAACTCAGCAGGAGTTTCCTTTGTTTATTCTAAGAGGGACTTGAGTACAGAGGTCTGGGACTTTACTGACCTTACATTCCAAAGCCCTGGGCTGCTGCAGCCAAGTCAGCTGCCTGCGCAAAATAGACACCCGTGTCTTTCTCATCAACGCTCTACTTGCGGGTTCAGTCCTGCACTCTGGCGCATGGCCTGCTGTGGGTTTGTGTTGTTGCTTCTGATTCTTGTAAACCTAGTTGACAAGTGAGAATTGGGAAAGCCTTTTCCTAGGGGAATGGCCACCATCTGCAGTATCTCTTGGCCCCTGAGGGTGGGGATGGCATGCTCCTTTCTCTGTTCATCTTTTTGTTGGGGATGTAGACATCTATTTTTGCAGGCAGGACTGTGATAATGGAGAATATGTTTGTGTTAGCTTTTTTTACTTGCAGCTTACCTGTCGATAGCCTTGTCTCCCATTAGTGTACAATGGGTGTGTGGGCATAGTACAAAGGCATGATTGAAAGCCTAGGCTGGGTAGGCTTGACTTGAGATTCTCACCTTGTATTTACTGACTGTTCCGTAGGAACATGACCAGGGGTTAGTGTGCATCTGTGTGAGTGGAAAACTTTTGGTGAGAACAGGGGATAGGAACTGGTCAAGTGGGGCAGGGATCCAAATCGGCAGTTCTGAGAACATCAAGAGAGGGTTCTGCTTCCTGTTTCTTTGCTATCTTCTGGTATTAGTTGGGATTACTATTGCTTCATTGAAACACCATGACCAACAGCAAGTTGGGGAGGAAAGGGTTTATTTGGCTTCTACTTCCATATTATAGTCCATCACTGAAGGAAGGCAGGACAGGAACTCAAGCAGGGCAGGATCCTGGAGGCAGAGGCTGATGCAGAGGCCATTGAGGGGAGCTGCTTACTGGCTTGCTCCTCATGGCTTACTCAGTCTTCTGTCTTATAAAACCCAGGACCACCAGGCCAGGGATGGCACCACCCACCATAAGCTGGGCCCTCCCCATCAATCAATTGAGAAAATATCCTGCAGGCTTCCCTACAGCTGGATCTTATAGAGACATTTTCTCAATTGGGGTTCCCTCCTCTCAGATTACTTTAACCTGTGCCAAGATGACATAAAATTAGCCTACACACTCCTAAATAAGCACGTCTGATTGTGGCCTTGGTGATTGTGTGACTGGAAGTGAGAGAAGGCTCCTGGGTACCCACCTCATTGGGCCCTGAACTAACAGCTCACCCTCCTCCCACACCCACTCTAGTTTCTGCTCTAAGTTCTTTTAAAAGCCCCCCAGACTAACAGCTTGAAAGGAGCCCTATTTCTGGGACCCTCCTGTTATATTGGAGCTCTCTCTAACCCTCTCCCTTTTCTTCTCCCTCAATTCCATAAGCTCCTACCCACGATCTGGCAAAAATGCCAGAGGAAGGAGCCCCTTAGACCTTACAGGATGAAGGGAAGTTGGTAGTGAGAGTCAGTAGCCAGGCTGTCTGGTCTCAGGCCGGAGGCAGAGAAGAAGGTGGAGCAGAGGATGGTGTCAGCATCACAGCAATGCTATTGATGTCAGCTCACTTCCCAGCACGATGTCTTTCTGTTGGGAGTTCCTGCAGGTATTTCCACTGGCAGGAAAGTGAGCTGGGAAAAGATGAGAATGAAAACTCGGAGCAGCTCCATTTTCATCCATCCATCCATCCATCCATCCATCCATCCATCCATCCATCTATCCATCCCCCCATCTGTTTTGTTTTTTCAAGATAGGGTTTCTTTGTGTAGCCCTAGTTGTCCTGAAACTAGCTCTGTAGACCAGGCTGGCCTCAAACTCACAGAGATCTACCAACCTCTGCCTCCCAAGTGCTGGGATTAAAAGCATGCACCACCACTGCCTTGCTGACAGTGCCTTCATTGCCAGTACTGAGTCAAGGCCTCCAGTTGTTGTAGAATATTACGATGTGTTACATTTGTTTATACTGTAAAACATTTGTTTAATGATGCAAAGATGTGTTGCATTCTTTTTTTTCTAAAAAGTTTATTTATTTATTAAGTATACAGTGGTTTGCCAGCCTGTGGGCCAGAAGAGGGCACCAGATCTCATTACAGATGATTGTGAGCCACCATGTGGTTGCTGGTAATTGAACTCAGGACCTTTGGAAGAGCAAGCAATGCTCTTAACCTCTGAGCCACCTCTCCAGCCTGTTGCATTCTTTTATGTTGCATTTGTTTAATTCTGTGAAGCTATGTTGCTTGGCCTGTCTGAAACACCTGATTGGTATAACAAAGAGCTGAATGGCCAGTAGCAAGGCAGGAGAAAGGATAGGTGGGGCTGGAAGGCAGAGAGAATAAATAGAAGGAGAAAAAGAGAAGAAGGAGCAAGAGAACAAGGAGAGGGATCAAGGATTGAGAAAAGAAAGGGCAGTCACCCAGCCACACAGTAAGAAGTAAGTAAGAAGACATGGAATAAGAAGTAAAGAAAGGTATACAGAAATAGAGAAAGGTAAAAGCCCAGAGGCAAAAGGTAGATGGGATAATTTTAAAAATGTTGGCTAGAAACAAGCCAAGCTAAGTTGGGCATTTATAAAAAAGAATAAGCCCCCCCCCTTTGTATTTATTGGGCACTGGGTGGCGGCCCCCGGAGAACTAAAGAGCAGGAGTACAAGTCAAACAACCAACTACACTTCGGGCACTGAACCTGTCGTCCGTTTTCCTCACATATTTAAACACAGTGGAAGTTGTGACTGATGGCCTTTGCAATAAGAATGAATTCTATTGGCTTATAAACAGAGATCAGGGCTAGGGCCAGAGGAAGGATCTGTGGTAAGTGTAAAGGTAGATTCTGCTGGTGGAGGATGCAGAGAACCTGGTGCCTCTTTCATAGGGATGTGCTCTGTTCACTAGAGACTAAGCTAGGATTAGGGCCTGAACAGTGCTCAGGATTCAGGGGATTCAGGAAGGCCGGCTCATAGACTAGCGGGAGAATCACCAGGTTGATTGGCCACTTTTCCCTCTGGCGTCCCAGATGACCAGGCATCCTTCCATTGAAGGTCCACGTGATTGGCAGTCCTGGTTTATCCAACGCCTGTTCTGAGCCGCACTTCCTACACCTTTCTGTGAGAGGGTAGGACTTCCTTATGGATATGGCATGTGGGTGATGGACTCAAAGTCCTGAGCAGAATGGACATATGGGGATGCTTTCCCTCTGTAAGAAATTAAGAGTGTTTGGTTGATAGTCTTAACCATACACATGTATACACAGGCCAGAGGTTGACTTTGGGTGTCTTTGTCAATCACTGTCTACCTTTTATCTTATCTTTTTGGTTTTTCAAAATAGGGTTTCTCTGTGTAGCCCTGGCTGTCCTGGCACTTGCTCTGTAGACCAGATTTGCCTCAAACTCACAGAGAGCCACCTGCCTCTGCCTCCCAAGTGCTGGGATTAAAGGCCACCTTTTATTTTTTTGAGACAGGTCTCTCATTAAACGTGGAACCCTCAGATTCAGCATTCTGACTAGCAAGCTCCAAAGGTCCTCTTGTCACGCCAGCACTGGATTACAGGGTGCACCAGCATACCCAGATTTTACATGGGTACTGGGATCTTACACAGACCCTCATGTTTGTGTACCATGTACCTTGCCAGAATTTGACCACTCTGTACTCTTGAGGTTATTATTTAAAAACCTTTTTTTTTCTAATTTTTTTTTTGTTTTAAAGTTGTGATTCTGTGGAGCTGTTTGAAACATCTTAGGTAAACAGTCTTTTAAAAAGTTTTATTGGTGGGGGGCTGAAGAGATGGCTCAGAGGTTAAGAGCACTGACTGCTCTTCCAGAGGTCCTAAATTCAATTTCCAGCACCCACATGGTGGCTCACAGCCATCTGTAATGAGATCTGGTGCCCTCTTCTGGCCTGCAGGTGTACATGTAGAACGCTCACACACAAAATTACTGGTGTGCTCGAAAATCTTTGCCTTTGGAGAAAATCAGCTATGTCCTCTCATGAGCCTGCAGCAAGGCCTGTCCATGCTCAGTTTGGGGGTTTCCTGAATGCTAAATAGATGTTACATGACAATTATATATTAGAAGCCTTCGTGTGTGTGTGTGTGTGTGTGTGTGTGTCTGCTTTCTCAGTAAGTAAAGAGCACACCTCACTTATCAGGTCCAGCAAGAATATTTAGACAACTGTGTTGGAAGACATTGGTGCCTCTGAGGGTCAACCCTTCCAGCTAGTTCTTTTCAAACATGAAGTGGTAAAAGCATTATAATTTCTCCCCCTCTTTTCAGATCTAATGTTTTGGCATGGCTTCCTGCTTCAGTGCTGTCAGTGGGTATAATCTATGCAGGGTCCAGAGCTTTGTCCAGACTGGTAAGTATTAGATGTGTGTATGTGTGTTGGGGGGGTGCACAACCCCTCTTTCCCTGTTGCCTTTTTTGTGTTTTAATTTACTGCACTTGGCATCAGTGGGGGCCAACATCATCTTGAACGTAAAATTAGATCAGAGAACAGAGCTGTTGGTCAGCTTACTGTAGCTGTAATCGAAACACCCAGGGAACAACTTAAGGAAATACATTCTGGCTCATTATTTTAAGGGGTCCCAGACTGAGTCCTTGCCTCTTAGGTGTTGGGCATCAGAGCAACGGAGGATGTTGCTGAGCTGCTCACCCCATGACAGATGGGGACAGCGAGATAGAAGATGGAGGGCCAGGAGTAAGTTTCAAAGGCCTGTCCCCAGCAACTTACTGGAGGTCTTGCTGCCTACACTTTCCAGACTTTCCCAAACAAGTACCACTACCTGGGGACCAAGCCTGCAGTGTGTGAGCCCTTCTGAGGGGACCCTTGATATCCAAACCCTGACAGAGAAACCTGGGCCTGAGATAACACGAAGCATTTTTTTTTCTACTTTTGTTGAACTGAAGAAAATTAGAAAATAAGACAGGGCCAGCTTGTCTCACAAGGCGGAGGTGGGCAAAGAGAGACACAGTATCAACATCTGTGAAGTCTGCCGCAGTCTGGCCTCACCGAGCAGCTCTGACATGGGTTGCTATAGGATAGCCTTTTTGTACACTGTGAAGATGTGTCTCTGCCAAGGCACCTTCTGATTGATTTAATAAAGAGCTGAATGACCAATAACTAGGCCGGAAAGGATAGGCAGAACTTCTGGGCAGAGATAGGAACTCTGGGAAGAAGAGAGGTGGAATTCATGAGCCAGACCCAGAGGAAATGGGATGTACAGTATGGAAGGGAGGCAATGAGCCACGTGGCGGAACATAGATTAATATAACGGGTTAATTTAAGTTTTAAGAGCCAGATGGGACAGGCCTAAGGTAAGGGCAACTCTCATAACTGATAAGAAGTCCCTGTGTCACGCTTTGGAGCCGGTGACTCAGAAAGTCCAACAGCACCGGTTGCATTGATACAACGGTCCAGGGGATGCTGGATGCAGCTGTGAACACAAGTGTAGGATAGGGTGGAGCAGTGTCCGGGGAACTGGTAACATGAATTGTCCATTCTGTCTTCCCGTTCCTCATCCTTCCTGCTTCAGGACTGAGCTCCTCAATGCATTACCCGGAACTCTACACTGTAGTCCATTAAAACCACATGGACTTATAAATCAAGATGGTATCAATGCCTCCTCTCACCTTATCTTAACTTCTATTTTTATTTATCAGAAAATAACTGTATCTGCCTCTTGGAAAAGTACAGAATTTGCAAAATAATTTAGTCTTTTTATTATTTTGTTGCGTTAGTCCTTGAGACCTCAGATGTAAAACCAACAAAGTCTGTCTAGCTGGGTAACAGTATTGTTCGGACAGCTTCAGAGTTATAAAATAGCAGTTGAGAAAGTAATTTGGAAGTTAAATCATTTCTTTTCTCTCATGATTTATACTGTTGAGGAGATGGAATCACATGTTTAGAGGGTTGGGAACTTTGGGGCGGGCATGGAGCTGACCCACAGGGCACCTCGGTGCCCATCTTGGAGTATTCAGGTTCTTCCCATTCTCTCTGCTCCTTCTTACTGGTTCCATTAGCTTTGATTTTCCCCTCCATGTACTGGATATTTATGGGTGACAGAAGTTTAAAGTCTGAAGAAGTCAGGTACTGGGCTTATAAAAATAATGCTTTTCTGTCCAATGATTTTTCATAGGTTTAGAGCAGTTTTCTCTCTATCCTTTATTACTTATCTTTTACTTTGTGTGTGTGCACATATGTGTGAGGTGTACCCATGTGTGTGCATATATGTGTGAGGTGTACCCATGTGTGTGTGTGCAC